GTGTGTAATATTTTTCTTCATTGAGTTTATTGGTACTTTTTAGGTATACAATGTAGTTACATTCATCATTGGGATTTATACCTTTACATGACTTACCTTGGTTCTTATTTTTTCCCCCGTCCCCCTGCCTGTAATTTTTATGAAGTCCATTTTACCGTTATTTCTTTCATTGTTTATGCTCTTGATGTCATATGTAAAAATTCACCGTCAAATCTGAGGTCACAAAGATTTACCCTTGTGTTTTTTCTGGGAGCATTATGAGTTTAGTTTTCACATTATATCATCAATACATTCTGTGTTTTAGTTTATAGCATGAGATAATTATCTAAGTTTTTTTTTTTTTTTTGCCATTGGCTAGCAGCATTTCCTTTCTAAATACTCAAAATAGTGTTAAGGATCATTAAGCTGGATTAAAAAATAGACCAGAAACCTAACCATGTAACATTTATAACTCAGGCTCTTAACTATAAAGACATATAAATTGAGATACACTATGATGTATAAAAAAATCATACATAACTTTGGGAAAATTCCTAGCTAGCACTTCTGTAAATATTGCTTTCTGTCTTTTCTGCTTCTAGAGCTCCCATTACATACTTGCTAAACCATTTCATTGTGTTCTTTATGTTTCTTTAAATGTGTTAATTTCTTTCCTTTCTTATTTTCTCTGTGCTATTGTTCTAGTATTTTATTTTGATTCATACGTTTTTTTAGTTCAGTGGGTTAAAAAAATCCAAATACAATTACTACAGTTTTAAATATGTATATATTTTTTAAAAAGCTTAAAACAGATAAAGCAAAACTGAATGAAAAACAGTGTAACTGAAAGGAAAAATATTCAAATCCATAATTACAGTTGAAGAGTGCTGCACTTGTATTTCAGTAATTGATAGAAGTAATAGTTATCAAGGGTAAAGAAAAACTGAACCGCATCATCATTAAAATAATTAACAGGTATTGAGTATTCCACCTAATAGTGATATAGTTTATATTCTCTTCAAGGATACATTTAGCTGGGCATGGTGGTATGTGCCTGTAATCCCAGCACTAGGGCAGTTGAGACAGGAGGATCATTGCAGGAACAGTGCAGGTGGCTCTGGTTTTCAGTGTGGTTAGAAGATAGGCCAGGTTGAGGGTTCTCAGTTGGAGGAGGCTGGGTTTACAAGATTTAAACTCCTTTTCTGTTGCCAAGGGAGAAAGACTATCTAGCATGAAGCTTTGGTATTAAATAAAATTAATAAAAGTACTGTTTGTATAAAAGAAATATAAAGAGCATAAGCACATATTGTATTACATGATGGAAGATGATAGCAATCCATTGGTTTTTCATCTTTCAGATATTTAAGGGTATTTTTTAACTTTAAAGATATAGTCATATTTTGCATTTGTAATCTGCTTCTTCTCTGCATTCTCCTTTCCATATTCTCCTTTTCTAATTCATCTCATCAGAGATGAATTTCTAAAACATCATATGTAATGCCTTTTCGATAAATGCTAAATACTGATGCTTTTCTCTCTCTTCCTAATAGTGTGTTCCCCTTCCTTTTCTGCTGGGCTTTCTTAGTAACTATCATAGTTATTCTACCATTTTACATTCATTAGAATAAGCTCATTCCCATTCCTATTGATTAAGGCTATTTTTAAAAACTTCAGTGTACAATGAAAAGTTCAGAAAATCACACATATGCACCAAATGTAGAATTATGTTTGTATCGGGAGTTTGGCACTTTTTTGGCGATTGTGACAGTGCTGCTTCGGCTGATTGGGTGTGTCTCAGCAACCCCATCTGCACTCAGAATACTATAGTTTATTGCCTTTGATTCTCAGTCACGTCCTTAGTTGTCAGTTCTGGCTTGGGGTACCTGACATCATCTTCCTTCACAATACTCAGATATACATACACAAACAGCCAAATGGTTTTGCAGAGGATATGATTTTTCTTGGTTAAATTACATACATCATAATGTTTATTTCAGAAATCAAGAAAATATAGGTACTCTAACCAAAGAGGAAAAGAAAAATCCTAATACTAAATTAGAGTGAACCTGTGTTGATGCCCTCCTGTTTTTTTCCTGTGCATATCATACAGTGTTTTTCTCCCATAAAAGGGATAATTCTATATGTGCTGTTTTTCTTCAGTTAACAGCTAGCACCTTTCACTGGAAGAAATGTTTTTCTTTTAAGGTGAAATACAGCTTGTATTTATATTAATACTTAACTGAAATTTAGAAACAGATTTTGATAAAATTGCTCTTAAATCTTTAATGCTTAATAGCTCTTATATCTTTAACCTCCTTTTTCCTAAGGTGACAGTTATTTTTCAAAAACACCAATATAATAACTCATTCCATTTATTTTCACATGTACAGCAATATTTTAGGATAATAATCCCAGGGCTATGACCTCTAATAAATTACCAAAAATAGTTGAGGGTTTTCCCTCCACTGATTTTATATTTTCTTTCTGAGCATTATGCTATCATCTTGATACATAGTTCATTTTTGTTTTTTTCTTACAGTTTATTGCAGTGTTTTTTTAACGTGTAGAAATAAAATTAATTGTCACATAGTTGTTTTACGTATTTATGGGGTACAATGTGATATTCCAATACAATATGTAACAGTTATATCTGGGTAATTAATTGATATATCCATAACTTCAAACATTTATTATTTCTTTGTGTTGGAAACATTCAAAATACTTTTTTACTGTTTTGAAATGTATAGGTAAATGTCAAGCAGAGTTACATTTTTGTGTTACAGAACATTAGAAGCTGTTCCTCCTATCCAGCTATTTCTTCCATTAATCAACCTTTCTCCATCTGCCTTCTTCTGCAGCCCCTGACACCCACTGCTATACTCTAATGATATCAGCATTTTTAATGAAAAGTCATTTTTAAGATCAAAAGATTGGACCAAATCCAGTGTGTTTTTTTCCCAGTTAAAACCTTACCATGTATATACTTTTATTATCTAAGAGCCACAGAGTATTCCACTGTATGACTATACCATATTTTCTGTTTAACCATTTTTCTGTTTTTAGACATTTAGACTGTTTTGACTTTTTGTTGTTTTGAACAATGTGAACAATGCTGCAATGACCATACTTTTACGAACACTTTTGTCTGTTTCTAATGGATAAGTTCTTAGGAAGGAGTAGTTTGCTTTTTTTAAAAAAGGCTTTAGCTAAATTTTGGTAACTGAATTCCAGAAAGTATGGATTTAGTCCTATCTCTAGTGTAGATGAGTACAGTGGTACCTTAGTTTACAAGCTTAATTTCTTTTATGATTTTAGGGAAGATGGCTGTGCTTGTGTTTGTATAGGGAAGATGGCCATGATAGTGTTTGTTACCTGATGTGGAATTTGCAAATGGAAACAAAATTTTGTCAAATGCTGTTGTTTGAGGACTGAATTATTTGCAAATAGAAGCATTGGTGAAATAAGGCATTATACTAGATTGTTCCCATTTGTGATAAATCACCATTGTTTAGCATTCTTTCCTTGTGTTGTATTTGTTGGCCATTTATTTTATACTTGTAAATTGTAGAAGCATTGGTGAAATAAGGCATTATACTAGATTGTTCCCATTTGTGATAAATCACCATTGTTCTTAGCATTCTTTCCTTGTGTTGTATTTGTTGGCCATTTATTTTATACTTGTAAATTACTGTACCTTTTGTCAGTATTTTATTCACCTTCATCTTTTTTTATCTTGTTTGTCTTTTTTTCTTGGTTTTTAGGGAGCCTGTGTATTGAAGATAGGAGATATTTTCATGATGGAAAAAGGTTTAAAAAATAACTTTCTTGAGCCAAAGTTAAATAATTATCTAGATATTTTTAGAACAATAATTTAAATTCCAGTTGTTTTTAGTTTTCAGAGGGTCCAAAAACCAATATTTTGATGGGATACTTGATGTGATATAATTCTAACTTTATTTATATTTTGTATAGTAGACTAGATATCCCCCATTCTATCAGAGTTCTTCGTGACCAGAATTTCATTCATAAATCTATTTTTTGTGATTGTTTTCTTATATACATTAAGGACAAGCTGTACCATATTGGATCATTTCTTAGATTGCAAAGATCCCCCAGTGGGCTATAAGTCAAACTGAATTCAATAATAACTGACACCTAGTATGTTAATTTGTGCTGATTCTTCATAATTTTCAATTATTAGTGTTATCAGAGAAGTTGTTGAAAGCGTGGACACAGAAGCTAGATTTGTATTTACATTCTGTTTTGGTCAGGAGTTTAGAATTTCCGTGCATTAGTTTGATCACATATAATATCAGGATCATGTTACTCACCATAGGGTTATTTTGAAAATTTAATGAAGGAACTAATTTTTATAAAGTGCTTAGAACAGTATCTGCCACATTAATGAGCACTATGTATGTTGTTTTATAGTGAAAACAGGCATCTGTCAGGGAAGAATCCTAGAAATAGACTAGGAGAAAGGTGTTACAAATAGTTTAAATAAACCAGTTCATTGTTATCCAGCTTTCTGTCACTAAAAAAATATCTGAGATAATCAACTTAGAGAAAGAGTTTGTGTTAGCGAATAGTTTTGGAGGTTCTACTCCATAATCATTTGATTCCTTGGTTTTGGGGCCATGGCAGGGCAGCACATCTTGGTGGGAACACATGGCACAGAACCACTCACTTCATGGCTAGGAAGCAGACGAGAAAGAGAAGGGGCCAGGGCTCAGTGTCCCTGAAGGGTGTGCCCTCAGGGACCTGACTTCCTGGATCTCCTGTAGGGTCCATCACTTCCCATTGGTATCGTTGTGAAACAAAACCTTTGATGGTAAGACTTTGATGAACATTTAAAATCTGAACTATAGTAGTTGAATTGAATTTTTTAAATTTAAAAATATTTTATTCTTAATGTGAATATTGAATCAATCCAGGTTATTATATTGGTGATGTTTTCAAAACTAATAGTTGAATACATTCCTTGAGCTAGTTACACTGTATTTTATTGCTTTTGTTTACAGGATATTCTGAATAATCTTGAATCATGTGACCTTGAGGATGACGATCTTATGCTTGATGTGGATCTGCCTGAGGATGCACCTCTTGATAATGGTAAGTTAGAACAATATTGAGCCTCCGGAGGTGTATAAAGTACTTGAGCCATTTGGCTGTAGTCAGTTTGATATTTGTTACTTGGAGACTTCTTAATCTCAGTGGAGCCTTTCAGACTGAGAATCAGTCTTAAGTAATGTAAAATAGGCTCATTTGCAAATTAACTTTTAAAACCTGATTTTGTACGTCTTAGATACAACTTAATAGTCCAGTAACATCATATCCTTACATAATGAAATGATGGATGGGATTTGTCTTTGTTTTTCCAAAATTCTGTGTGATACAATAGCATTGTATACCTATCCCATAAAGCAAATGAAAGATGGGATTTGTCTTTTTATCCTTTGTACATAGCACTTTTTCCTCTTTGTTTCATTTTGATTATCAGGAGAATACAAGTAGAGAAACATTTGACTTTTGAAACAGTATAACTAAATTTTATAAATATTTTAGGAAGATCAGTTTGGGGAAAGTTGTGACCTTCTAAGTTAATCCTGCCCTTTTTACTCCTGCTTCTAGTCTTTCTTCTCTGGATCCGAGTAACTGAGCTTTAGATAATCCATATGCAAGAGGGTTTGTGAGTTTTCTTGCCCCTAGTGATATAGCATCTATGTTAAGGACTGGGTGCAGGACCAGAGCTTAGTATGGCCACATCCTTGTGATAAAGAGTTGAAGGTGAGATGGGTAGGGGAAGGGTAATAAGGGAAAAGAAAAAAATGTGAGATAATGAAAAGATGGAAATAAAGTGTTTGTAGATGGGGAGGGAAGTGGGGGTGAAGGGAGGGCAGGGGTAAGGGGAAAAAATGAGAAGACTTGTCATGTAGAGGTACAAGATCCCAACAATGAATGTAACTGTACTGTATCCCTAAAATGTACCAATAAACTCAATTAAAGCTGAAAAAAAAAAAATAAAATAAAAAAAATAAAGAGTTGAAATGGGCGAGCTGGGGATTTAGCTCAGTGATTCCGGTGCCCTGCTTTGACAAGTGCAAGGACCTGAGTTCGGTCCCCGGTACCAAAAAAAAATAAAAAAAATAAAAAAATAAAAAATGTTGAAATGGGGTTTCTTCTGGAAAAGAATGGGTCTGGGAATCTGAGGATTCTCTGTCATTCAGCATTTGCCTGGTCTCCCAGGCTTCCCTGGAATAAATGAAAAGGGATGAGCGGAGGCCTTTTTATCTGTGTTACTAGAAAAATAACAAGGATTTTTCAGAAAGGATGTTCCAGTGTTTCATTGGGGCGTTAGGAAGCTACTTTATCCTTCACAGCAGCTCCCATTTGTCATATTTTTGGGGTTTTTATTTTTCTCTGATATGTTATAATCAATCTCAAAAATAAGTACACATTTATTTTTTTAATTCATGGATCTGTGGTTTAGTTGGGGCAACTCAGACTGTGGAACTGGGTTCAGGCCACTCCATGCTGCATCATTGTGAGAGCAGGACTGCTGGGGGCAGATGGGTCTCATGGCAGATGGCAGAAGCGCAGAAGGACAAACAGAACCATGCACAGTGTGTCTCCTACTTGGTTTAGAAACACCATACTTTATGTCTGCCCTGTTTTATTGGTCAGAGATGGTCCCATAGCACTATAACACCTCTGGGACTATTCACAGGGAAAATCTCTGCAGTCATAGGACAGAAGACTTTTGTTGTATAATTCTGTTAAAGAGATAGTAAAGAGGTAAGGACAGTGTCCACTCCATCACTGGGGTTCTTCCTGTGGTTCTCCTCTTGTTTGGGGATACTCCTACAGCCGGAGCTGAGAAAGAAAAATCAGCCGAAGCAGGGAAAGAGCAGATCTCCCAGAATCAGTGGTGGTCTAAGGAGATAATAATGAGAGCTCTTAGGCAAATTGAGCTATAACACAATGCCATCGGGAGCTATAAAATAAGATTTCCTAGTAGAAGCACTTGGTATATGTCAGAAATCATTCTACTGTTGAAGTTGAAGTTTTACTTTGGTAGAATTATAACATCTTATCTCTGTGAACCTTTTATTTTGAGTTAATAAGATGTATGGAAGGATGCAGTCCTGGAGCTTGCCTCAACTGTACAGCACGATACAATTATAAAATAAAAGCAGAATCATGGGGAAGTTGAAAGGATTGGACATTTTGATTGAGCATATATGAGAAGTAGTGGAGAACTCCTGGAACTTCCACATATATTACAGATTTTATTTTTTTAGAAGACATATTTAGCTATTTTGAGCAAAAGGAACACTAAAGAAAGTGGATTTAAAATATGTAGCTTTTGGAGGCACCAAAGATAAATGTTTAGGTTTAATACCACAGGTAAATGGAAAATGACTATCTTCTTTGTAATTGTGAGGGCTTGCATAACCACACCTATCCCCTGAGTTTTTTTGCCTAGGGAATGGTAATATTAGAAGGACTGATAAGGTTTAAGGAAGTTTCCAGTATGCTTTCAGCTTGAATTTTTATTTTTATCTTTATTAAAATTATTGGTACATTTTAGGTAAACAGTGCAGTTACATTCATCTTTGGGATCTTGGACCTATACATGACTTTTCAGGTTCTTATTTTTCCTTATTTCCCAGCCCTCCCTTCAGTCCTCCACTCTTCCTGTTTACAAAGACATTGTTTCCATGTTTTTCCTTTTCACATATTTTTTCTTTTCCCTTTTTACCTTTCCCTTACCCCTCCCACTCCCTCTACTCTTTTAGACTTTTCTTCCTATTACACAATATTCAATTATACATTTTAATCCTCATTTATCCTTTTACTTTTTCACACCAGAGAAACTATTTGGTATTTACACATGTGTGACTTATTAATTTCACTTGAGTATGGCCTCACTGTGCATCCACTTAGCCATAAATGTCTTTAGTTTCTCATTCTTTATGGCTGAGTAGTATTCCATTTTATTTTTTTAAAAAGCTCATCTTCTTTATCCAGTGTCTAGCTGATGGGCAGTTGGGTTGTTACCAAATTTTAGCTATTACAAACTGTGTTTCTATAAACATGGGTGAGCATATATCACTTGGGTATGATTCTTTTAATTTTTGGGGGGAACATACCCAGCAGAGGAATAGCTGGGTCAAATGGGACTTCTAATCCTAGTTGTTTGAGGTATCTCCATATTGGTTTCCACAGTGGTTGCACCAGTCTGCACTCCCATTAACAATGAAGTAGTGTTCCTATCTCCCCACAACCCCTCCAGGATTTGTTACTGGTTGACTTCTTGATAGTAACCATTCTTACTGGGGTGAGATGGAAGCTCAGTGTTGCTTTCATCTGCATCTCTCAAATGACCAGTGAGGTTGAACATTTTTTCATATATTTATTTGCTGCTTTTACTTCTTTGAGAAATGTCTGTTCATTTCAGATGCCCATTTTTGAATTGGGTCTTTATATATGGGAGGTCTGATTTTTTTTTTTTGAGTTCTTTATATATTCTACATAGTAGACCTTTGTCTGAGGAACAGCTGGTAAAAACTTTTTCCCAAATCATGGATTGTCTCTTAGCTCTGCTTGTGATTTGTCTGGCAGTGCAGAAGCATTTTAAAAAAGATGAGATGCCACTTGTTGATTCTTTCTGCTAGTTTCTGTGCTACTGAGGATTTGTTCATAAAGTCTTTTCCTATGCCAATGTCTTCAGGAGTTCTGCCTAACTTATCTTCCAGCAAGTTTAGTGTTTCTATTTTAATATTTAGATCTTTAATCCACTTGGATTTTAGTTAAGTGCATGGTGAAAGATATGGGTGTAGTTTTAATCTTTGACAAGTTGAAATCCAGTTCTTCTAACACCATTTATCTAAGAGGCTATCTTTCCTCCAGTGAGGGTGCTCGGTTCTTTTGTCAAACATGTGGTAGCTGAGTATGTGTGGAGTTGTTTCTGCATCTTCTAATCTATTCCACAGATCCTCAGATCTGTTTCTTTGCCAGTGCCATGCTGTTTTTATCACAGTGGCTTTGTACTATAATTTCTAGTTGGGGATTGTGATACCCCCTGCCTTTTGTCTTTTACCTAGAATTGCTTTAGCTATTCTAGGTCTCTTTTGATTCCGAATGAATTTTTGGATTGTTTTCTCTAGTTTTGTGAAATATGCTGTTGGATTTCAATTGGGATTGCATTGAATATGTATAGCAGTTTTGCAAGTATGGCCATTTTCACTATATTGATTCTTGCGACCCAGGAACAAGGGATGTTCTTCCATTTTCTGATATCCTCTTTGATCTCCTTTTTCAGAGTACTGCAGTTTGCAGTGTAAAGGTCTTCTACTTCTTTTTATCGGATTGATTTCTAGATATTTCATTTTTTGGGATGTTATTGTGAAAGGAATTGTTTCCCTAATTTCTCTTTCAGTGAGTCTGTTAATTGTGTACAACAAAGCTATTGATTTTTGTGTGTTGACTTTGTATCCAGCTACTCTGGTGAATCTGACAATCAAGTCTAGAAGTCTTGGCGGAGTTCTTTGAGTCTTCTATGTAGAATATTATATCATCAGCAAATAATGCCAGTTTAAGTTCTTCGTTTCCAGTCTTTACTGCTTTTATTTATTTCTTTTGTCTAATTGCTATGGCTAATGTTTCCAAAACTGTATTGAACAGGAGTGGTGATAGTGGACATCCATGTCTCATTCCTGATTTTAGTGTGAAAGTTTTCAGTTTTTGACCATTTAGTATGATGTTGGCTGTTGGCTTTTCATAGATGGACTTTATCAAGTTGAGATAAATACCATGTATTCCATTTTCTTCAGAGTTTTTTTCTTTTTTAATTATGAATGGGTGTTGAATTTTGTCAAATGCTTTTTTGTGTCTATTGAAAGGATCATACGGGTTTTGTCCTTGATTTTGTTAATACAGTTTTTGAATTTGGGAAGAGCTCTGGAGCGGTGAGTTGAAATTTTCATAGTTTCAGCCCCACAGATGCTGCCAGTATCAGTGTCATTTGTGTCCAAAAGAACACTGGCACCTTATTGATATGCACCCTGGGTTTGATTTGAATTTATTTTTGCTATGATTTCATTATGAGT